GAAATTTTTTACTTGTTTCTGTCTTGTGCCCTTGCAAACATACCGAGTACCAAGCTGGCCCCAAAAATCTGGACAATTTACGTAACTATTGCGAAAACGTTACTAATTGATGGATATTCCTAGTACGCTATGCGATTTATTGCGCCGCTTTTCCAAAAATCAAGTGTTTTAGGAAATGTAAAATCTTTTTAATGATATTACTTAGCCACTGCGCCTTGCGCTTTATTACATTGCCAATGGCAAAGACTGTTATAGTAGTCCTGTTTTGAGGGCTTGCTTTCGATGGCTTACCTGACGCTGTCACGTAATGTTTTCTCGCTGATAAATTATATTCAAATTGTATATTGGCTGGCCATTGGCTGTGCTATTGCCGCATTGTTTTGGCTACGAAAGAAGATGCCGGATGCAGAAAGGCCCATTAAGGTCAGTGCATTTTTTTTTGACCCAAAAAGTGGTTTGTAATAAAACTGTCCAAATTTCCGGACTAATACTGACGAAAAATGTAGGAGAGAGCAGTTTTGTTGCGCAGTGCAGTTTTGATTACAGTTCAACTTTTTTCACTATTTTTTTTAGGTTAACCTGATATTTCCAACGCTTTTCTTCCTCGGTTGTGTTGCTTTGGTAATTATCCCGATCATCGGCTCACCAAAGGATACTGGTTTGTTTCCTTCTCAGGTTCAGACTTTTTTTTTGCTTCATAATTTTCTGTATAAACCGCACTATTTGCAGCAATCGGTATTGGAATTCTACTCACCGCGGTTCCTATTTATGCTGTTTTTGTCGCTTGGAAAAGCAAACCAAAGTGCTTCAATGCAATCTCAGGTTGCCATTTATTCTTTGTCAAAGTAAAATGTGATTTTGCGCCATGGCATTAGGCGTTGTCATTGGTCGTTAAGAACTGATTAAAAATTTCTGTTTTCCTATCCGTAACGGAGGCAAAAGTGTCCTGATAAGTAGCAGTAGCAGCAGCCTGCTAAAGTTTGCTGCTTACATAACTGCCTAAGAAGCAACTCGAACCTGTCCGGATTTTCTCCTAGCGTTAGCGATTGTGTGATCGACGTATGTATTAT